CATTCACATAATAAACATACTAAGAACAAGAATATGAAACAATCAATTAAAATGTGGTATTAACTTAGTCGTTTAGAATTAAAATAATTGAATATCGACAACATACGATAAAATATTCTAGCGAAATTTCTAAAACACCAAATTAGAAATAATGTATTTTATAATCAACACCTTAATTATTTGTAACTGTCTTAAAAATATTAGCAGAATTAAAACAAATTGTAATATTATGGTTGATATCACACAGTAGTCACACAGTTTTCTAAAATCACTGTCTCAGATTATTCACGATAAAACATAGGCTTGTTTGAAATAGTGTGTTTTAAGTGCACGTTTAAAAGAACACAATGAGCTCGAGTCTCTCACACCAGACGGCAGATCGTTCCACAGTTTCGGAGCTGCATATTCAAATCGTCGGTCGCCAAAGGTTACAGTTTTACTCGTTGGTACCACTAAAGTAAGTGCTTTGTTCTGAGATCGTAGATTCCTTCGTGGTTTGTAAACACATAACATTTCTTCCATATATTCCGGCGATTTTCCATTTAAAGCTTTGTAGGTATGTGTTAAAATTTTAAACTGGATTCTGTATTGCACCGGAAGCCAATGTAATTCTTTAAGTACAGGTGTAATATGATCGTACCGTTTCATGTTTATCGTTATTTTCTTACAGTATAAGGCAAACTAATACGATAAATATACTCTACAACGTAACCTGATACCAATAGTCATACAAATGTGTGTAATAAAACTTTGAAAGTGTTTTATCTTACAGAAGTAAACAAAATAACTCACATACATTTAAAATCAGTATCGATTTATTTATTTATTTACTTATTTATTTATTTGACAAGAAAGAAGTTTAAGTTAACACGGTCTAAAGCAAACACGATTTATCACAAATTATAAAAGACATGTTGCGATCTTGTGTACGATTCTAATAAATCCGATGCATTTTATGCGGTCACTTCTATGTCAATAGGGCTTTCACATACTAGTCAATACCATTACAAAATTGTCCGTACTAGCGAAGAGTAACAATTTTAACAAATGATGATAAGTCTAAAAACTTACTTGATCCAATTATCTTGAACATTTATCTCTCAACAATGTTCGAGCTACCGCTTAGGCGAAAAGTTATAACTTATTTTATTTTGCTTGCATTTCGTTGTTAAAAGAGGAATCAGAACTGTTTGAATCACATAAGGATCTGATCAGTCATGAAATTAAATGCAAAGAAAAAATTAAAAATATTTGTAGTATTATTAAGCTCTTATATCTTATGTCTTAAGTATGGATATAAATAACGAACTCACGGTTGCATAACAGTGCAATCTTTTATTTTCATTTTCTTTGTGTGTGTTTTTTTTATCTGCTTAACTATCAATCTCATCAGTAATATTTTAAACCTCATTTCAGTAACGACGTTTTGCACAGTTACATGATCTCCGGCGCAGGCAGCAAAGATGGCCGTGTCTGTATATGGAATGCTACTGAAGAGACGCTGTAACATTCACGTGTCTTTCTGTGACTTAAATGTACTGATCACGTGCCGCCAAGTGATCACGTGATATCTTGATGTATCTTATAAGAATGTTGAAAAGTACATCTAAAAGAGCGTTCGAGGCCGATGGTTAAGGTCGTTGACTTCAAACCACTTTCTCCTCGACGCTGTGTGTTCGAATCCCTACTGGAACTTTGGATTCTTTCATGTCAGGAACCTATCCAGCTTGATTACGAACGTCAGTAAAGCTGGAACGTCGCCAAATGACCTATACTGTGTCGATGGCACGTAAAACCCAATCAAACAAACAACTAAAATATATTAAATTGCTGATGAGTATTAATGACTTGAGATAATTTTTTTTATCTCAATCAACAAGCAAAGTGTCTGTATTTTTATTATTATCAATATAGATCTGACAAATTTTGTTCATCAGATTTTGATATGATTCGCGTTGTTCGTTACATGCATTTTTCGTTATATAAGTACTGAGCAATATTTATGTACCATAATATAGACATATAAAATATAGCAGCCATTCTCACAAACCAATATTAAGATTTAACTCATGATAAGTTTTAAGTCTTAAGTTTTGTGTGAAAATAGAAATATCGTAAGATTTCTTCTACTATAAATTTATCATTAGATTTTAGCAAAAATGGCTGCAAAATGCTGCATATTTTTTATGGTTGTCAATGTCTGTAAAAGTGGTATGTTTCATATTTTAGCAGAGATGCTCTATTTTTTAAGATGAAATAAGTGGATTTATGTCATTTCATTTGGCATACATACTGGTAACTTTAATATGAAGATAACAAATAAAGGGTGAATTTTTTGATATTACTTGTTATATTAGGCATCTAAATTGATTAGAAGATGGCAAAACTCCTTGTTAGATATACAGTTGAGATTCACCAATGACATTAATATATTAATCTATAAGATTAGTTTAATGTTAAAAATAATGGTTTCATTTAATGTGATATACTTTAATTGGTTATCAATTGTATCGACTTCCGAAACTATTTTTACTAAACTAATTGAAATGTATTATGAAATAGTATGCATTTTTTTTAAATATTATAAATGTATCTCTTAAAACTGCTTGTATGTTTTTTCTTATCTTTAATTTAAAACTCACAAGAGAAAACATAGCTATGTACAAAAGGGCGTATTCATTTGCTAAAACATTGCTACAGCTACGTGGAAGCAAGATATTTATGTAATTTAATTAGATTACTTATCTAGAATATTGGATACCTTTATGATAGTGCATTCTATCTGTTTACAAATGTAGCAATTTTGAAAACTTTATGCTCACGTTAATTATTATTATACTGTCGTAAATAAAACATTTGTGATGCGTTATTGCTTTCTTCGTCAAATAAAGAAATAAAACGAAAATAAAATGTCTCGTTATCTTTTTTGAAATGACAACTATTGTAAGAAATTATTCGTATAAACATGATTTAATGTTCTGTTGGGGAAAATGATATGAGGTTACAAGGTAAAATTACATTAAAATACATTAAGATGTTTCAGAGAAAATTGATATATCACTATTAGTAAACTTTCGGGATTTTGGTGCGAGCGTGCGTGCGTGCGTGTGTGTGCGCTCCTGTTTACTTTTCTGGCGAGGTCAGTGTGTCGGCTTAAGCAATGCAAAGTGAGGTTTCAAACCGAGTCTGCAATTCTTATGTTATTTTGTTGTGATTAATGCTTCCGAGGGATCACTTTGTTTCCAGAATTTTGTACTTCACAACAGCAGGTGTCAAGTGCCGTGTGGCAGCCGTAAAAAGTTGCCCCGTACTTCACTTCAGTGTTGTTATATTTTCTGGTCCTTCGGGATCATTGATGCCAACACTGTAAAGTGAATTGAGTACCGCTCAAGCCGGTGCTAGGGGGCGTGAGGGATGTTGCACTTATTCATTATCCCTCATGTACAGACTCAATCAAACCGAGTCTGCAATTCTTATGTTATTTTGTTGTGATTAATGCTTCCGAGGGATCACTTTGTTTCCAGAATTTTAACGTTCATTGTGAGGTAGGAAATGTGCTATCCCGGAACATTAACCTTCCCTCCTAGAGTCATATAAGGTGTATGAAATATGATAAACAAGATCAATGAGCCTAGGATAGTAGATAGTAGACATTAAGTTTAGTGACAATATGTGTTATTCCATGAGAAACAGTAGGCACGGTATTGATATTGAGGTTTTCAAAAAGAAAACTTGCAGTCAATTTTTAACCTTTAACCTGCAGATTTTTAAAAAAACAAATGATATGCCAGTCCTTTTAAAACTTTATGGGATTTCAATGTCAATGTACAAAGATATTTGTCTTAAATAAAAATAGCGCTTTGTATAACGGCACTGTCTCCATCAAACAAGACATGCATTTAATTTTATTAGTGAGTGTTTGGCAACCTTTAGGGTTTCATTCTTGCGAAGCATCTGTTTCTATTTACATAAGAACTAGTGCAAATTATGAAGAAAAGAAAGGCATTCTTCAGTGGTTATATAGGCTTACAAAACTAAGCCAGAGTTCTAGGTATATGTCATTGAGTATGATATTTTTGTGATTGATTTTCCAGGTAACATTTTGTAGGCTTTTTATGTTCAAACAGTATCGTGTAACACAAACCTATTACCTGAGGAATCTTAAAAGTATCTTTATGACCGAACTGATTACTTTTGTATTCTATGTTAAAAATTATAAAAACATTACTTACTTTTACAATGCCTGAAAACTAAAACATACACTGGATCAAATTTGATGTTTCAATTACATCTTTTAGAGAATCGCCATCATATACTGGATTTAAGTTGAATTTTCAATTACACTTCTATACTCCTACGTATAAAAACTTCGTATAAAAACTTCAACTTTTGTGTGCGTAAACAAACAAAAATGAAGATGCAATAAGGGGTTATTCCGATGTTTCATTTACTTCTTCTTTTTTTGCTATTTACCTGTTTGTTGATTATAGTATTTCCTGTATAATACATTTATATGAATGCATACCCATTTTAATGTCCAATTTCATAAGCTTGAAATATTACATTTAGTGTGCTAAACTCAAACACAAGCTTCTCTTTGTCTGCTTTTAGCCAGTCATGCTATTCTAGTTAAAAAAATGGATGTTGTTTAGCTTGAGATTAATAAAAAGAAGAAAAACTAACAAACAAACTCACATAAAAAGTCTGTTAAAATGTACACTTTTACTTTTTACATCAATAAATACCCCAAGATGCAGTTCGTCAAATTTGGCAACTTCTGTGTATCATATTTATTTTGTAGGCATTCATTTGACATACGTATAAAACGCGTATTTGATTAAAAACATGCACCGGAAATGACGAAACGAGCTAGTGGTCGCTATATTGACCCACTATTGGTATACAAGACCTTTGGGTAGATTTTGCATTCCTACGTTGCTATAAAAAATCTTTGGTATATATGAGACGCTAGTGCAAATAACAATTTTATACCGACCTAGTTCTCATTTACAGTTTCGTATGAAATAAAAATAGATCGGACGATTTAAAATAAACTTATTTGATGTGTAGTTGACTAAATTATGTAAAATATGATATCTTGTAAAGCCTTTATTCAATACAGGTAATTTGCCGTGTCTAGTTCAGGTATTATCAATATAAACATCTAGTATATATTTTGTACGTTACTTACATTTTCATTCGGAAAAAAATATCTTAATGTGAGCATTTATTTGTTTTTTAAACTCAGTGATATTTAAAAGATTCGTTGCCGGAATAGTTTAAAGATTTGAAAAATGGAAAATATTAAATTATTTTGCACGACAAATTTGAAATATGTTACTGCTGGTTTAGCAATAAGTGTGACAACGATATTTATAGTCCGGAAAATACGGAACAGACAAAAGAAAAGGTAGGAAATAACCCTAATCTATTACATTTTTTTTATTTATCGTTTAAGCTGTTTTGTTATGGGAATGGGATGTAACAGTTTCAAATAAATAAGAATTGCAAGCAAATATTCGAAGTAAGTTCCTCTGTGATTTCAGAAAAAAAGTCAACAAGGCATCAGCAAATGTAACCGCTACCCAAAAAGAGAGAGAAAAAATCAAAGGCAGTCACATTTAATCACCTTTATCTTTAGATATTTTTTGGCAGAAAAGATGAGAAAATGTCCCTATGAAGTTGTAGTTTTATCGGGCACACAACATTTGTATTAATTGTGATCGATTTATCACTTCTCTCATTAACTTCACAGAGTATGTTTTGCTCCAGTAATATGTTTATTGTGAGAATAATGATGTTTACATATTTTTCATGCGCTACGAAAATGTTGTCTTTCATATTTTTCATATCTTGGTATTTTATGATTAGCTGTCTGGTGATAGAATTAACCTATATTCATAATATATTTTTTGTGAATGTTATTTTTGTTTTCCTAAGTTATGAATTCAATGTCAAATATTTTATTGTAAAGAAATAGAACCAGGTCCCTAATAGTCAGATACCGTATAAGCACAAAGTTTAGACGCTCTAAGTAGTCGGTTGACGAAGCTCAAAGTTAAGAGCAGAAATAGTTTGCAAAATATCAAATCTATTGGGATTAGGTAAAACAATATCATAAAAAATATATCACAGTCAAGAATAATTTACGACAATACTTAACAAAAGTACAAAAAAACAACAGTATTTAGTTAAGTGACCACAATTACGAATTGGGAGATTGGTAACGTAGTGGTGAAATTGTCAGACTCAAAACTAAGACATCTTGAGCTCGAGACCGACTAGGATCAATTCGATGTTACCTCATACGGCACAAGAACTGGTTAATTACAAGAAGTGGAACTAATGTAGTTCATATAAAAGTTGTTTTTCATCATTATCTAATTAAAATGATCATGTTCAAACTGTACGCATTATAATCAATTCTATCTAGCAATTATCTTATATATTTCATAGGGTTTGTGGAGTAGACTACCCGGCGAACACTGTCATATTACATCAGTTTGAGAGAGGAAAAACTGCACCGAGCGTCGGCCACTTTGTTATGAAACTAGAGACATTTCTCAGGGTCAATAAAATAACTTATCAGGTACTTGTATTCGATTTTAATATATTTGATTGCATCCGATCACCTCAATTTAGTGCTGCTTCTTTCAAGCGATTGAAATAGATTTTAAGCTAATGGTAAAATGGGATTTATACTATATCATGACATGTTTTGCCATGTTTTTATCACATACACAACATGATACATATGAAGCTTCAATTAAAATTGCAGTCAGTATATACGTCACAGCTAGATATAAAGAATAGTCTTTGTTTCACGTGCATAAAGTGTCAGTGATGATATCTGGAAAGTCATCACTTAACTGAAGGATAGATAATCATTATTTCTTCTCGACTTTAAGCTTTACTATCGCATTTTTTTCTATTTTATTAACATACCCTATATTCATGAAATCCAATATTGCCTAATATTTGTATAAAGCAGGGTTTATTTGAATACACTGTGAGCACGATATAAATTATTTTAAAAGCAAACGTGTTTTAACATTACAGTGTGGAACTAGATCTTTACTTGTGATACTGTTTGTTAATTATTTAGAGCTTAAAATAAGAAAAAAAATTTTCTCAAAAGAAAAAGTAATAAAGTGAAGAAACAATAAGAAGGTAAATCATCTAAAACACGTGAAACACGTGCAAATAATTGGTTAACTAATCACCTCCTCGTATCAAAGCGAGCATTTCTTTGTTTTTAAGCCGACATAATTACAGAACGTTAAGCTATTTCGAATTGAACAAAGACGGTTCGGGTTAGAGTTATGCGCTTAATTCATTTTAACAAGTTGTAAAATTGTGATGATTTTATTTCTCTTAATACATATCAAATACAAAATAAAATAATTTGTGGTATTTTTCGCAAGTCGGTTGGCGGCAATGAATTAAGACTGGATTGCTCACAATAAGATAAGAAAAAGAGAATGTAATTAATGTAGCAAGGATTTCTGATATTAGTGTTGCATATCGAATGATGCTATAAATGAAAAACATACAAAATAAAGCAGAATATCCGATTGATTAAATATAATAAAATATAATATAATAAATATATGTATGTAAAATTACTTAGTAAACAATGCGTAGTATACCCATCAAAAAGACATATAAGCTGACCTATATTTTATTTCAAATTATAGAGTAAGGTATAGGTCAACATTATGGCTGGCTGCACAAGAACAGATTTAAATGATATAATTCTGACAGCTTACTTAAAGGGACTACGCTTATGTTTTTGTTGTTTTTTTTGTTGTTGTTTTTTTTTTGTCGTGATGAGACTGGAAATCTTTGTTCAAGAAATATTCCATTTATTGTAGGTTTAACCAATAACTTGTGTGAAGTGAAAATTTTCAGATCATTTGCTCACTCTGATGTGATAATCACCCTAATTGTAAAAAATATTACCCAAAATTGAAAAGCGTTGCAACGCTTTATTACACACATCACAAAAATACAATTATCTTAATTATCTTTTGCATATCTTTCTGATTTAAGTGTCTCAGCTTTCTTATGTAAGAAAACAAATGTATATTCATGTTTTAGGTTTTCGGGCCTCGGTGGAGTTCCTTTAACATCATAAATAATGTTAAACTTAACATACATTTTAATAAATAATCACTCCCTGCATCTAAATTGTTTTTATTTATTATCTAAAAATATTTCATGTATAATTTTGATTGATTAAATCACATAGTAAAATCTATTAATTTTAACCCATTAGTCTTTTTAAAAATTTTTCCCTGCCCACGAGAAAGGGCCCTCGAGAAGAAGACCCTATCTGGGTTTTATTTTTCTTTCTAGCGCATTTTTTTTCTCTCTCTCCCTTTAAAAAATTCCCACTAAAATGCCCGTTTTAAAATTGCAGGGTTTTGAACACATCGGGCGGATTTTTCAACATTTTTTAAAATTTTAAACCATTTTCATTTTGAATGTTTGAATTCTGTTTAAACCCGGGTGCTGGGGGGCGTGGAGGGTATTTTGAAACTTGACAGAAACCGCCCCAATAACAGGCCCCCAATAAAACCGGAGCGGGCAACATTTTAAAATTTTTCCCGCTTTTGGGCAATTTTTAGGGATTCTTATTACACTCTATTTTAGCTTCGTTTCTTTTCTAATATTTTTAATATAGATTGACATCTTTTAGCTTAAGCAATATGTAAATAGTTTGTTCAACAATGTAAGATCAATTTCTGATAAAATATACCCATCATAAAAGCAGCAAAGTACTTTAATATCATGAATTTGTATGTTTGTTTTGTATGAACATTGATGTGGGACCGACATAAATGAATAAATAATTAGTGATATATGAAAACATAGATTATCAACATTTTATATACGTACATTAAGGAAACATATGAATTGTTTATTATCATTATTAAAACTTTCAAAATATGCATTAAAAGTTTTAAACCCAAATACTTGATGGCATGTGAAAAGAGTTCTAGTTATATGAATAATTAATTATGCATGAAAACTATTATTTTTACATTTTCTCAAGTTATCACAGATTTCAGCGCTTGAAATATAGAAACACTAATATCAATTGTTTTTGTATACTATACAATGATGCAATCAAAACATCATTTTAAAAACGCCACTTTTATGTTAGTTTAGTTTTAAGAAAATATTCTAAGAAGTTCTATTGTGTTGGAAGTTGTAAGCTTATTGAAGCAATCTCGAATCCGCTCCTGGAACCAATCAGTAAGAAGAAATGAGTGTTTAGTTTCTTGCTCACGGCCCCTGACGGAGTTTGAACCCGTGCGGCCAGAAGATTAGTCCGGTGCGTTAACCACTCAGCCATGCCGCCACTTTTATGTTACTAATCAAGGAATCTTTCATTTTTTGCAGTCGGATTTCAACTACCGCAATGGACCAAAAGGAAAGGTTCCGTGGATTGAGTACAATGGTACAACGATGGGTGATTCACACATGATTATTGAAATGTTGAATAAGGAATTTAAAATTGACATGGACAATCATTTGTCAGAGTACGAAAAAGCAGTAGCCTGGGCTATTCAGAAGTGGATAGAAGAATATATGTATTGGTATGTATGCTTTTCTTATTTGTGATCTTAGAATTCGTAGAATTTGTTGCAGTTTTTTCAGTAAGCTATGGGAATGTTGATTAATACAAAAATCGTATTAACATAAGCCATCCGAATTATGATAATTGAATTCTCTTTGCAATTTACCATTTAGTTAACATTTTCATTCGATGACTTTTTTCATGTTAAAATCAATTACATTTATATAAACAGGCTAAACGTCCACACACGATGGGTTATATTCCCTTCCGAAATGTTTGAAGAAGGACTTGCTAATTTTTCATCAGCATTAAAACCGTTGATACGAAGAAAGGCTTTGGATATGACGTTTAAAGTAGGAATTGGTCGGCATAGCAACAGTGAGGTGCACGAGCTAATGGTGAATGACCTCCGAAAATTTTCACAAATTCTAGGTAAAATTTTAAATCTTAATTTATGACAATATGTAACCCTTCTTTTATACAGGATGCATGATTTAGATCAACAGTATATTGTATATTCCTAAAAATGAATAGAGATACAGTGTACACGACTTGAAAGCCACACCATATATTCAAAAGCAATACTTGAAAAGTAACAATGATTTCTAATAATAAAATTTGGACGAGGATAAATTTATATAAAAAAAAGTGCTGAAAAATTTAGCTTTAGAGTCCATGCATAAAAATTTAAACATATAATGTTCAAATTTCATTCATTTGACTGGTAAAATTTAATTCTTCACAAAGGGAACTCTACTTAGGTCCAAAAACCTTAAACCATAAAATTTGAATTAGGCACTTAAAACAGAAAGATGTGCAAAAGATATCAATTTTTAAGATATACATGTATACTTAGAATATATTGAAACTCGTATTTTTGTGCTATTCTTGGCTGATTTAAGCGGAAAACCATACAAGTTTTTCAATGTTTAATCATTTTTCAAAATTAGAATATATATTCTGAAAAAAAAAACGGATTGAGCGAATGATCTTGAAATTTTGCACACAAGTTATTTGTCTAGACCTACCTCAAATGTTAAAAATTCTCAATGGAGTATTTTTAAAAGCAATGTTCTACTCTTCTGAATAAAACTGGTTTTCATCTTAATTTTCCTTGTATGTTTTCGGATTTTTACTTATTATTGCAAGACTTTCACTAATAACTTATATATCATTAATAGTAAGTAAATTTAAAACAAATTGTCGTAAGCCTTTCTTTCAAACAACTTATCTAGCATTAAAAGAGAAAGCAAATTTGAAACAAGTGCTCACTTATTGTGCTACAGGGAACAAAATGTACATAATGGGAGACAAAATGGCTGTCGTAGACTGTGCAGCATTTGGAATACTTTCGCAGATACGATGGTGTACTCCATCCAAGTGTCCTGGAACAAAACTACTACATAGTAAGTCATTTGATATGATACCTTGTCATGTTTCGTGTGATTAAGAAGTTTCATTTTTACTTCGACAACAGACCAAAATAGTTTTAATTTCTTTTTCTTTAAAATATGGCTTACTCAAACTCGTGAGATAAAATTTATAATTGCAATGCAGTTGTTATAATTTAAATGACACGAGAACATATTATGAATATTTATATCACAGTCTGGGTATATTTGTATTGAGGTTTACTACGGAAAGACGTTGCCAATATGCACTTTGCCTGACCTGATACCGTAGTGCAAGGGGAAATAACTCCAGGCTGTATATTAAATTTCAACCACTTACAGATATGAAGTTCTTTTGTGTGTGTGTATTTATTATACTTATTGAAAAAAAAATCACTATTACCTTACTGGAACCAAAAGTGATTAACCTTATCCACCAGTATACATTCAGGCCAGCCTGTACATCTGTGTCATCTGAGTAGCTATATATACTGTTGGCTGACAAACTTTTAACTTTTCATCTTCATATCCCCAAAGATCCAAACAGTGCAGCTGGACAAGTCAATTTTAAGAAAATCAGCAGTTGAATGGCAGGTTGGTCAGTTTGTTTGAGACGTGCGCCTCTCAACTCGGGAGTTTTTTATTGTGCCTTATATGATACATGTATATACGATATTGCAGGTGGTGAACTCTCCAATGTTGTAAGTTACATGGACAGGATAAAGGATACGTATTGGCCAGATTGGGAATCACTGACAGCAGACAAATAGCGTACCTGAGCAACTGTATTCAAATCTGTTGAGTGGACCAACTGTTGATATAGCTCGCATATAAACATTTTTTTTAAATTAATTTTTTGTGTTTGTTGTCTATTTTGAACACAAATGTGTAAGTGCAGTACAAATATACCGAGTTTCTTTTTTCTCAAACTATTCTATTTAGATTTGAATTTAAGAGGATTTTTTAAGGAGTTATATGGCATTTATGAATGGATTTTATTGTAAGTCCAATGTAAAATATCGATATCTTATGACGGAAATTCAGGAGAGGTAACAATAGTTTAAGTGTCGCATTCACTTCATTATTTCTGTGACTGTATATTCGGATTATCACAGATCTGGATAAATATTCATGCCGATATAGCTTTTACTCATAAAGGGTCACGTGAATGTGTGTGTTTGCGTTAGTGTACCCTCGCCACCGGAAAGAGACCACATGGTGAAGCAAAACGTGAATTGACGTTTTCGAGCTATTTAACGCAGCCAATGTACACACAACGTTTTACCTCCGCCAGTGATGACAGATTGCTGCAGTGATGCTAGAAATCTAAAATTTGTTGATTACATGTATGTGTTTATTAACATTACACAAATAAGGACAATTGCTGTAGACTAACTGTGCATTGACTGGGGATACTATCAGATAATTTTGGTCTTGTTTCCTCATGAAATTTTCATAAAATGAGCATGTTAGAAATCGAAACAATGATATTGAACTTATCTACGTAGTATGAATATACCAAGGATGTTAATAACCTGTCTGTAATAATCAGTACATTTTAGATTTCTGTCATCACTGCAGCAACCTGTCATTACTAGCGCTTGTAATACGGTATGATAAAGTATTATTAGAGTATCTGCGGGGTGAACATTAAAGAAAGTGTTAGCTATATGATATGTCATGTTGTTTCACTATACTATAAATATGATAATTAATTTATATATATTTTATATTTTTATTTTTTATTTGCTACAATACATTGCATATTTTATCTACAAGCTTGAAATAAAATGTAAAAATGCTCAAGATATTAAATGTTATTATATCAAACAATTTTCTGCAATTGTGCAGATTTTCTATTCTTTCAGGAACATATGAAAAATATACACGAACTTTATACTCCATTTGGCTATACACGTATTTCTTTATATAAATTATGTATACAATTCATAAACACTTTTTGTCGGCTTCAACAGAAGTCTATATTTGTATAATGTTATATGGCAACAGGTCTTCCAAATATAATTCTATCTAAAAAAATTCTTGATGGCAACGAATGTTTAATTCTTTTTATCCCATGGCTTTCCTTATAATTAAATCACGGAAAACTGCGTTTTAATGTAAAAAATACTCAATTGGCTTCTTTAAGAGATTTACTGATTTTAATACAACATTCAGATTTGTACTGACTTTTTAAATTGCTGAGTGCACATGCAAAATATCGGCAAAATATGATTAAATCTGATGACATAGAACAAATATTAAGACTACTTGGTATAAACTCTAGCTAATCCAATTTATAATTAAATGCATTTCCTTGAGATAACAATATAAATAAAACGACAATGCACATTCGTGTTTCATCGTACAATATAATACAACAAGTGGAATACTATAAATGGATCCGGTTGTAAGGATTTATATGCTGCTGTATTTTCATCAGAAATCCTACTGTTATTAATATAATAGGAAACGATATACTGTGTGATGTGCAGCAACTCATTGAAGTTCACGTTAAGTCCCTTCAGAAATAAAAAAAGATGAAATAGATATATTACTCTAAATCGGGATGCAGATTCAGAGTGAGGACAGAGCTCTATGATCTGTTTTTATAATCGAGTAATGCCAGTATATTTTTCTCTCCTGTGATTGCTCTTTCATTTACCCGGATAAAGTTTGATATTACTCTCATCACATGTATGTTCACCAAGTAAAGCAGAATAATTTATGCATAGCATCAATGGAAAGAAACAAACGAAGAAGACGTGGTAAAATACTTCCGTACCAAATATCTAACTTATATAAACCCAGGCAAGCGTAAAGGCTTTGTAAGTAATTTTTCTATGTACCCGTGACTTTCGTCGATAGTCCATGTAAAGTGTCACTAACAAATAATTTTACTTTACTTTTGTACGTTTCTGGCAACTCATTAATATAAAATATTATGTCAAAAACAGACAGAGACGAAAGACTGAGCCCTCGGACACTGTCAAATGTTGAGAGGTATGACTTTTAACGTCGCAGCTGCTCATAAATGAACTTATCCAGGATCAAACTTGATTGTTGAAGCCTGTATTTTGTAGTTTATTGCAGATTGACGAGAAAAATTAGTGGTATGTAACCAAGACAACACATTTAGTCTCACGCCACCTTCTTCAAATGGTGAGCGCTTTATTGTTGTGGGGGCAATACAAGTTTTCAAGGCTTCTCGGCAAACAAGTGACTGCACCACAATCCAAAACTAACACACAAGTCTGTAATCACACACTTGAAATAAATGCATTTCATATTTAACATATACATATTTATCACACACCCGTGCCGATTTTGCGACTCTGTAAATATGGTATTGAACGGCCGCGCATATATTTTGACGTGGCGTCATTAGCGTTATACAAACATAGTGTAAAGACGCGCTAAATGTTAGCGTTATACTATAGGCGCGTTAATGAAAAATGACTCTTATTTCACTTTAAACGGTCTTTATTTTGGGTATGTGATAAATAGAATATTAAATTCGTGTAAGTTCATTACATTACTGTTAGATAAAATAATATTATGCACGCCAGAGGATCGCATAATATAATTTTATTCAACTCGTGCAATAAATTCAGTATTGAACTTACACTCATTCAATATCCTCTATGTATCTCACAGCAAACAATTATATATTATACTTGTAGTTCAGACTTGCCCTATACTTATAATGCAGATAATGCATGTGCTGTTTAAAATGGTCGATAAGCAAGTTAATTTTATTCAAGCTTTTGGTTTCGAAATTTGCGTATGCATATCTTGATGCGTCAAGAGAGCTCAATGAAAATAAGGCGACTAAAGCTTAATATAAATATAAGACTATTTAAGCTTAAACACAATTTATGCGTTCTATAGTAGCTATTGAATGTTTGTAAAAAATCAATAATCAATTTTCAAGTAAATGACTGATTATTTAAACCTTAAAATCTTAGCCATTATTTTATTCACCACAGGTTTCTAATATTATCCATCCTCCTCTTGCAGTGAACGGTAATCATATATCAGACGCCAGAACTCAGAAACATCTAGGCGTTTAGAACTTGGAATCATCGTTTACATAAATGCTGGTCTTTTATACGGAAAAAAACAGATGTACATTCACAAGATGAAAAGGCTCTTTTTAATGCTTTACATTTAACTATTAATACTGTCATATAATTTGCATGCATCTTTATTTATGCATATGTAGTTGAGTGAATATCTCATGTTACTTCAACATGTTATGTGTCAAATATATTGATTCTATCAACATGCAAACTTTTAGTGAATATATAACTAAAGGTAAGGTAAAAACAATGATTGCGCTCTTCTTCTCTTTTCTTTAACCGTTTGCACCGGAGTAAAATAAACTCACATTTTAACATTACAGTATATTTGTCTAACACTGTTTATCATCTTGTTGAAACATGCTCTGGCAAAGATTAGTGTCAATAAAGGAAAGACTTACAGATAATGTTTTCAAAGTGTTTATTCCAAAATGGTAGTGTGATTTATTAGAAAAAACATAAGAAATAGAAAACTGTAATAAGAAAACTGAAGGAAATATATCATACTGGAATATTAAGAGTTAACACTTGACTTTTAAAATATATTTTACTGTATTATTATTGCATCTGATTTTATCTAACGAGATTTCATTATTGAATGAATTCTCATAATTTTTTTTCAAATCTATTTCTAATTTCTTGCTTATTATCGAACTTCTTATTAGTTTGCCATTTGATAAGAATTTTTCAAAAGGAAGCATTTGAGAGTTGTAGCTTAGGAAGTAATGATGTGTTTTAAACGTATGCAAGAATAAAAACAAAATGCAAACAACATTTTAACACGTGAAAAAATGTGTATTTAGTATGTATGTTACCCATACGCCAATGAGGACTATTTTTATTTCACAGGAGCCATGGACAGTAGCTTCTCTCTTTTTATGCCTGACTTTAATGTTTGTACTCTTTCATAAATAACATTTGATCAGTTAAAATCAAGTCATGTGTTTGCAAAAACAAAATCACTTTTCTCTGTATATAACGTCTAATTTGTCGAAGTCCACTACTAAAGTCATTTCCATTATAACTATCAGAACCTGAAAATGTATGTCTAAGAGGTAAATGGGAAATTGACGTTCAGAGAGTAATAGCTGAGTACACCATGTACACAAGCCTGATTTTTTTTACACAAGCACTAAGCCAGTTGCTGTGCATTATTCAACGATATATGACATTCGTTGACAAAAATGAAAATTTACAATTATTCTCATAAAAATAGAGACTAGCATTAAAATTAATTTACTCCAACCTATCAAAAAACACACCTGAAATAAATCAATTTAGGCCATTTTATCAAGAATATAACTAAAATAATAAGTAACCAGAAATGCAATTAAAGTCTGTTATACATTTAGATTTTTTCGAAAGAAATATTCAAATTTCGTTGTTTGGCTCAAATGCCTGATTTTCATCTTTTGAACCTGTATTGTGAGAGAAACAAATGTTCAACGATATATGACATCCATTGGTGAAATAAAGAATAAACATTAGTCGAACAATGAATATAAAAATCTGGGTGACATCGTGCAGAAAATTGTGAAGTAAATATGTATTCAGGTTTTTTACGTTCATTTTAAATGTTCAATTCATAGGTGTTTAAGAAGTTAAAAAACACAAATGTTTTCGGGTAAAATATCTTCTCGAGAAATATACTTTTCATCGAGGCATTATTCACTTCCGTATGTATTTATCAAATAAAGTTATGTTAACCGAAAGAAATTGAATGAACTTCATTTGTCGCTATAAAGTGCTTAATGTTGCCAAGATTGCCCTCCTGTATGTCAAGCCTGCAAAAAGTCGAATTGTCGATGATTACCTATAAGGAAATAACATAAACTAATTAGCAGACATTTTTGTTCTCATTTTTAACAAAGTGAGACAGAAAATGGAACTGTAGGATAGAGATAACGTGTTGTTCTCTTATGTTAAGTTCTATTCTGTTCTGATAGTACGTTTACAATAAATTTTGTGTAAATTTAGTTAACACCATGTTTAAAATGAGCATATTAAAATTATAGCCATGCATGAATGTATACAAGTAAAAGTTTGATTCATAGCAAAACTCTATAGTAAATGGCTATGGTGGTTTGCAAAAGCTATTGTATGACATCTTAATGATGTGTCTTTAAGGGAATCCACTGAGGATTTTAGTCATTACGGGTCTTTAGATATTTTTATTATGTTCAAGATGAAGGTTTAGACCAATAATTTGTGTGCTAACATTCACTCTATTTTTCCGGAATTTTTATTCTTATTGCGAAAAATGATCCGAAATTCAAAATATAGGCAACACTTGTCACTCAAATTGGGCTAAGGATAGCACAAAAATACGAGTTTGGTTTATTTCTATGGACATTTCTTAAAATTTTATAATAAAATTCTGTTTTAAGCACTCTAATTGGTCGATGTAAACATCAAATCTAATGTTTGAGTATTTTGGACCTCAGAGAAGTTCCTTAAAGAACGTCTGTTAAAAAACAATAAGAAATATGAGATGAAACTGACATTTTCCTGAAATACAGGTATCAGTAATTTTTCACTTTCATCTAGAGTGTGTCCATTACCTAAGCAAGTAATTAAAGGATTCACTTTTCAAATAAATGTTAAAATTTGAGCTATTGAATTATTTTGAATAAGAACATATCATTCTTATATATTCTAGGATTGATATATTCAGTCTTAAATATGTAATAAATACCTCCATGCTGACATTTGTTTGGAATTTGAAAGAAATACGTGCTTTCTTTAGTGGGACCATATTGGATACGGCGCAAATATTAGGGGATATCATTCCTTTAACTTCGA